AAATTACTTTACGACACGCAATAACGTGCAAGGCTACTTTATTTGTATTCTGGTTATTTTGTCTTCACTTTATTGCCACTGATTTTTTAATCTTTCGCATATTTTATTTGCAAAGATGTAAAAACCCTCATTTTATAATTTTTTTTTGTAAATTTTATAATAATAACTAGCAACCTTGCAGTCACTATGTTACTGCCGTGATTTGTGGACTATAAATAAATAAAATTTTAATTTATTAAATAATGACTTTTGTTAAATTGCACTGTACTTTCTTAATTATTGACGTTTTTAAAGATATAAGCTCATCCTGATGTTACACTCATCAAGAGCTTTCATTTGAGTACCCTCATGCATTTTGATATATTTTTTATATATAAATATGTAAAATATATGAAAAATTGATGTGGGTGCTCAAATGAAAGGTCTCGATGAGTGTAACATCGGGATGAGCTTATATCTCTAAAAATGTCAATAATTCACAAGATACAAGGTCATTTCTTAATTATACATCTAGAGATAGAGTATTATCGAATGCAGCCTAAATGCTTATCATTATAAATTGACTATTGGTGAGAATGATATGAAACCGTGAAAAGGCACAACCGGGCCAAGCCCGCATGGAAAAATATATATGCGAAAAATATATGCAAATATATATTTTCACATATATTTTTTTTGCGCTAAATATATGTCCGCATGTATGTTCACATATATGCGTGCATATATGTCCACATATATGTGCGCATATAAGTGTCTAGAGATACACAGAAAAAAATTTAACTTGAATCAAGAAAATAATTTTCAAAAATTTAACTTTCTTGATTTTAGTAAAAAAATTCTCAAACTTAGAAATTTTTAACTTCCCGCTAAGAAAATCGAAGATTTTCAAAAATCGGGAAGTTATTGTTTTCACCCCGTTTTACAAAAATCGAGTTTTCATCAGATCTCGACGTTTGAAAGTCACAGGAAGCTTCCCTGACTATCTGAAAACAATAACTTCCTGAATTTTGAAAATCTTCGATTTTCTTAGCGGGAAGTTAAAAATCATTTTTGAAAGTGGTTTTTTTGGAATATCTTTTAAACGGCTCGAGCGATCAACTTCAAAAACTAATCCGCCCTTAAGCTTGAAAAACCACGCCGATCGGCACTAATCCGGTCAAAATCGGTTGATTCTTTCGAGAAATAGCGTGAACGAACGGAAACCGAAAAAAGTTTTTTTTTCACATAACTTCGATATTTCTTTTCGGATCGTTTTTGGTGAAATGAAATAATTTTTAGAGCTCAAAAAACCGCGTTGATCGCCGCCAAGAACGTAATAATCGGTTGATTGGTTCGAGAGATATCCTCGTCAAAATATTTGGAAATAAGGATTTTTTCAACATAACTCCGACATTTCTTGGAATAACTTTCAAACAGCTCTACCGATCGATTCCAAAAACTAATCAGCTCTTAACATCATGAAACCACGTCGATTGCCACCAAGCTGGTCAAAATCGGTTGATTCGTTCAAGAGATATCGTGAACGAAAGAAAACTGGAAAAAGTTTTTTTTCGGGATTACTCCGAAATTTTCGGTTCAATCAGTTAAAACCTGAAAATAACTTATGAGGATGATAAAACTGCGTCGAATGTCGTCAACCGCGTGAAAATTGGTTGATCCATTCAAAAGTTATTGCGGTTTGAAAATTCCGAAAATAGTGTTCTATGAAACTTCTATCAGACTTTTGAGCTAGGAGAGCTCAAATGCATAGAAATATTATTTCTTTGAACTCAGCGAGCTCAAAATATCACATAAATTATATTTTGAGCTCAAAAATCTCAAAAATGTCATAAGTACAATTTTAAGAACCCAGGAATGGAATTAGCGGGAAGTTGCACAATGTATCTCTGCATATATGTCAGCATCTATGTGAAAAATATATGTTGACTTTTTTTTTGCGTAAATAAATGCTGCATATATATTATATATGCGACATATATTTTTGACATATATATTTCTCCATGCGGGAGACTTTTAAAATGATACCAAATTTAACCATAGAAACCCATTATATCATATAAATACACTGGCCACAAAATTTTTCTTATTCTCTTTATAATATAGATAATAGTAATAATTAATAATAATAACAAAATATTTACTCACGCTGTAAATTATTATAGGACAATGACTGTCTTTTTAAACGTGGAGTCGAAGGGTCCTTCATACTTGCACGGCACCACATATTTACTTGAACATACGACCATAATTTTAAAAAAAGTACTGCATACAACATACAAACATACACAGCTCCAACTGTAACAAAAAAATAAAGCCTGATTAACTAATGGGTAATCGATTAATTTTGTAAAGTATATTAAATTTAACCTACATCGGAAATATTTATTACAATTTTAAGCGGCTTATTCATTTTATCAGATTTAAGCGGGTAAATTTCAAATCAAGTTTTTAATCTGCCAGCTCATTGAAATTAAATGTCGATTATTAATTTAAAACATTTACCAGTTATAAAAAATATTTATGCGTCGAGCAGAGTAGATTAAATACACGGCTTAAAGCATTATTCTTGATGGATTATTGATACAAATATAACCAACATTACGTGCGGTGAGTAATTAGTGTAATAACTAACGAGGCGGTAGGCGATTTCAAAGTTCGCTGGTAGATTCTCGCTTAAGGTGGCGGAATGGATGGATCATTATGATAAATATGTTTGTTTTAAAATCTCAGGGAGTAAAAGTTTTAAAAATTAGGAAAATTAAATATTAAAATGAATTAATAGTCCATAAATTTAAATGAATTTCAACCCTTGAATGTGAAAGTAAACGTCTACCTGCATGAATATATACGACTAAAACAAATCTATGTTATTTCTCGGGACTCGTTGTCTCAAATCCTTAGACCGAATAGGGAAATAATACAAGAATAAAGTAGTGAAATAGGTATTGTAAGTATAGCTATAGAGGTTTGAGGTATACAGTGCTTTTGTCCCTCAAACTTGATTATCCCATGGGAAATTCTGGAGAATACGTTCGTATTACTCGAGCCCTTCTCGTACAAGTAATCGTCTGACTTTGTATTTACCTACATCACTTATTCTATTTACTCAGCGGTACTTAATATAACTCTTCTATTGAAATTACTTAAATAATAATTACATTTATACAAAATTCAATTTAAAATTTAATCAAGTTTCCAATTCATTTATTTTTAAATTATATGTTTTAATCTTCAATTGTAAATATTAGTAGAAACTATATTTCACTAAAAGCCACTTATCGGGCGAATTTGATTCAGATTTTTCATTTATTAAGCAAACAATTGTTACTATAATGGAATTTTAAGGGTGTAGTCTAGTTTGTTGGCTAAAAAAAAAAAGTGTGTGTACTTATGTACGCTCGTAAAAAGTTATACTTCTTTGGCGTAACTAGATAAAATCAAAGATGAAATCTTTCTAAAAATTGTCGGTGAATATTTTTAAAAAACTTATGGATGAAAGTAAATATATATTAGTGATAAATTTAATTCAAAAGATTTATTAGTCCGACTAATTATTGTGTATTAATTTAAAGAAAAATAAATGCCGCCATTAGCCAATATTAAATGTATATCTATATATTGAGAAAAATCATATGGTTACTGCTCTCCCCTTACCGCGCTATAGAGTCGACACCTATCCCCACCCAGCCTAGTGCTCGTATTACTTTAAATACAGTTTATTTAAATATCATAAAAAAATTATTTCTACATAATTAAAAAAATCTGGAAATCGGTTGACCGCGTAGGGCAATCCTAGAACCTCTCGCTAAGTATGCATTCAAATTTGAAACACCTTAAAAAGTGTTTTTTGGTTAATATTTGAGCTTTTCAAGCTCAAAACACAATTTTTCACATTTTGAGCTCCTCGAGCTCGAAATATATTTATTAATCAACTTTAACTTTTGAATGCATCGTTCGATTTTCAATTTCAAAAAAGCATTCGACGCAGTTTTTTAAGCAAAAAAAAAATGTATGAATGGTTTCATTATGATTTTTTCACACGCTTAAAAGTTGTTTTTAAAAAACATAAAAATTCAAATTTTTTTTTGTTTTTTTTTTCTTCGGAATGGCTTGATGGATTAACTCTCAAATCTAATCAGATCTATAGGTTTTGATAAACCCTTTCGAATGACGTGTCGTAGAATTCAATCGGTTGATTCGTTTTTGAGAAACCGTACGACAAAAATTTATTTACACACATACACATACACACACACGGCCGGACATCTCGGTGAGAATAGTCAGAATGGCTTCCTGGGACCTCAAATCGTGGAAATCCGATGAAAACTCGATTTTCGAAAATCGGACCGAAATCAATAACTTCCCATTATTGGAAAATTTTCAATTTTCTTAGTGGGAAGTTGAAAATATATATTTATATATATTTTATTCGGAATAATACAAAACACGTGTTGTAGGTTCAGAAACACTTGAATAAAGATCGTGAATACAGTTGCCAGATTTCACGCAAACATACGTAGATGTCCTTACTTTTACTTTGTTGGTAACTTTTTTTGAAAAACGAAAATGTTGACTAGCTAACTTCAGGGTGTCGGTTTTTCGTGACAGTGTGCGCGCGCATCGTAAAAATTTACTCTCATCATTTTTCCCTAACGCCCCAAAAGAAGTATAACTTCAAAAATATGGGGTGCATGGTGTCAACATTTATAAATATTTTTTATCCTGCTTAGGCCCAAAATTCGGATTCTATCCATTCTATCTGAGACCCAAGTGATACATTCTATCCTCGGTTTACCTTTCTATCCTCGGTTTACCCATTAGTGCGCATGTGCGATACTATGCGCGTCAGTACTCACACGCATCAAGCTTCAGAACAGCTGTCACGACGCCATTAGTGCAATATCTCGGCAATAAAAACACATATCAATTGTGATATAATTTACGTGATTTAGTTAATAGTTTATGAAGTTAAATAATTATAAAACAATAAAAAAACTAAAATGAGCTCATCTCAAACGTCAGTGATGAGTGAGAGTGGCAAAGAGGGTACTGACTACATTCAAGCTAATACTTGTCTAGTTCAGAAAGTAAGTTTTATAATAATAATTATAATAATAATAATAATAATTGAAAATTTAGTTAGCCGACATTTAAAAATTTTTTATAATTTTTTTTTTAATTATTTCAAAAAAACAAACAAAAATTTCATTTATAAAATTTTAATTTATTTATTAAATTATTATTTATTTTAATTTAAAAAATTAAAAAACTATAAGTGCAATTTTTTATAAATATTTTAAGTTCTAATTTAATAAGAGAAAAAGAAATCAAAATATTAAAAACGTCAGCTAACTTTATTATTATTAATAATAATATTAATAATAATAATAATAATGATAATAATTAAATATATATACAATTTTTTTTTCTATTTACAAATATATATTTACACAAATTATAATTTTGTAATTAAATTACTATGTTTCAGGTCATTTTAATTCTAGGATTTTGTGGAGCGGTGTGATGCAAAGAACTTCGATTGTTAAATCATAATGATGTCGAAGATGTTGGGTCTAAATTTATCGAATCTGTTCGAGACACCAAAAATTATTACCCACGATCTTTTGTGATCATGAATCAATACTACAACTTTGTCAAAAATTACATCGCTAATAAACTTTTCGAACTGTTGATAAGAAAAATATTTATATTTTGTTTTTTCCAAAGAAAATATAAAAATATAAAAATACAAAAAAAATAAAAATTATAAAATAATATAATTTAAAATAAGTATTTTTGAGGTGGGGCCCCCCCCCTACCGAGACTTCGCCCGTGGACTCCATGCACGAATCACTGAGTCATTAAACTTTTTTACGAATTTTGGGCCTGGCAGGATAAAAAATAGTATGTGCAACATAGGACCAAAGTACTACATTTCTGTCTCGGGTATTTGCCACCCTCGCCGTCGGCTCGGGTGGCAATCCCATACCCGGGACAGGAAGTAGTACTTTGGTCCCATGTTACACAATATACTATTATTGACAGATATGAGTTGAGTGATTATCATTTTGATAATATCTTAAAAAGTACCTCACGCTTTTTTAAAAATAAAATAATTTTTTTTTATTCACACTATTATTAATTTATATTTATTGAAATTTTTTACATTTTTCTTAAATCAGATTTAATTTCTATTTTTTAATTTGATTTTCTATAAAAAGCGTGTTTTTTAGTTTTTTTTAAACTATTATTTATTTCATTGCAGTTTCAATTATACAAAAATTTTTTTAAATCTAGAAATTCCATTAAACCAACAAATTTTCATAAAACTATAATTTACTGTAAAAAACTTTCACAACTTTTTTCTGCTTCACAAAACACTATTCTCCACAACTAATAATAAAGAAATAAAAATAATTCAATATTTCTTGTCATGCTTACCAGAATTCCGTTTATAATTCAATCTGTTTTGCATGACTCATAACCATAATCATATTCGTAATGTATAAAAAAAATAAATATTTATTTGTATACCTCGCAAACGAATATAACACATCAGATAAACATAAATATAAATATAAATACTAAGTATACATTATATAAAATTAAACATTTATCCTATCAAGTTGAAGATAAGCTTGACTGGTAAATGTCTAGACTAATTGCAGGATGTCGTGCTGTAGACATCAAAACCAAACGTTGTAGCGTGGTACACATGAGCACACACAATATTTCATAAAATATTTTATCGTTTGTTTTTTATCAGCATTCTGCTGTCCTCTGATTTGATTGCTCGATATGTATGAATACTTAAAAAAGAGATTGACGGAAAAAGTTTATCTGGATAATAACTCTAACAAGTTATGATTTTTACAATGCAGCCTAACGTAATCTATAATTGATAAATATTAAAATTTGATTGATTAATTTTGCACATTTTCGAAAAAAAATTCTTCATTTTTAGTAAATTTATTCAGTGAATTAAGATATAGTGGGATCCTTAAGACGCAATCGGAAGATCCAGGTTCGATTCTCGGTCTGGTGCTTTTTTTTTTTTTTTTTTTAGATCTTGACGTCTATAGACTGTATACAGCGTAAAAGCAAAGTTTATTTAATTAATTTAATAATAAATCTACCAATCCATCGGTTGTGAAAATTAGTTTCCTTTCATAGCATATCCTTATTGAAAACGTGCTGAGGAGAAGAAATTAAAAGTTCTTTCCAATCAATTTTTAAATTGGCCTTCTTTAATTAAAATTACACACTCCTATTACCGATACCATATTGGTTTTCGGATAAAAGCATACGCCCCATTAAAGAAATATGTACATTGAACCTTGAAATGAATCATGAAACTTTCAATTGATAGAATCCCAACGAGTTTTTATAAAGTTTATTGACCTATTGATTGTATAATTAAATTTGAAGCATTTTCAAGCTTCTACTAACTCTGAGTTAGTAAGTTTGAAGGGGTTATTGAATTTTTAGTTACATTAAATCATTAAATATCTGAGAGATTATAAAGTAGAACAGATATTTACAATATATGTTCAGCGAATAATATTCAAGTACGGATGGTCCACGGGAAAAAATTGTTGGAAAAATTACAATTGTAATATCGTAATCCAAGACCGGACATAAAATTTACTATATTACAATTGTAAATTATTTTTTTAATAGTACTTAAAATGATTTTGCTGTAAAATTTTTGTCTCTTCTTATCAGTCTCACTGCAAGCTATTAATTGTTTCGTAATGACATGTCTTATCTGCAGTTATTAAAAAAATGAGATAATAAGTAAAGTTCTAAATTTAAAATGAAACACACAGTTTTCAAATAATTTTGTGTAGTATTAGTAGACATCAATCTTCAATGAGTGAAACTTTTTAGTACACGAACCTGCAGTGACCATAAAGACTCTATCAGAAAAATTATTTTCATTTCAAAAGCATCATTCAGAAAGCTATTAATTAACTCCAAAATGTTTTTCAAAATTTTACTAATAATTTCTATAGATATAACATTGCTGAAAAATGGATTCGTAAATTGTGATGCACCGCTTGATTTTAACAACAAAACTTCATTAATTAATTATCTTATGAGCATGTCAAACAGAGCAATAAACAACTACAAACTATTTGAGACTCTGCCCAATAAAAAAAATATGGAAATACTGAATCTAATTCATCGCGACATGTTGGAAAAACTTAATGAATTAGACCAAATCTCGAGCCACTCCGAGTACCACAAGACCAACGTCAGTGAATGGATGGCTGTGATGCACTTCTTGGGCGCTTATGGATTCAAAGAAATCGGTGACAAATACACTCTTTACTCGACATTTTCACTGGAAACAAGACTTGCGCATTTGCATGACAGTATTTTGCAATCGATCGACACAATCAAAGTAATTGGAAGCCCCAAATCTTTTCACAGTGTCGAGAATTTTTGTACTATCGCCCTCCGAATTACCAATTCGTTTCTGGACCATATAGATGAAAACTCGATTACTAATTTGTATAGTAAGACAATTGACAACATCAGCACTGAGATTAATTCACTTACTTCTATCAAGGTGAGGTTCTTTTCATTTTATGAAAATCTATTTTAGATAAATTTCCGATAAAAAAGGAAGATATCCAATTTTATAAATAAGTATTTATTTTAATCATTATTCAAATTTATTTTCTTTTAAATATTCACAATAATGATAACTTTCTTTAAATAGTCATAATTCCTCGTAACAGATCTATTAATACCATTACTTCCAATGATTCCAAATCCTTAATTTTCTGGATATATAGAAAGCCATTTGTCAATTTTAACCATATTGCAGAGAAAAATAAAACCAGATTATTGTGGCGAAACAATATCATTTCAAAAAGCATTATATGAATACTATCGACAAATGATTAAAATCAAAATCCAGCAGACAATTATCAACTTTTTCTACAGAGTTTTGAATATGCGCTGTAATAACAGTAAGTAACGACTATGATCTACTCATTTTATTCTATGAAATTGATTGGTTCCTCAAGCCGCGGATGACCAATATCCTTAGCCTGTGATTACAACATATTATTTCTCCATAGTTCGAGTCGAAAATCTGTCACTTTTCGGGAGAAAAGTTCCAAAATCGATTCGACAGATGATTCAAAAGACATCAAAGATAATGAACAACATCAATTACTACATTTACAATTGCGATGGACCGGTTGACACCCAAAGTGAATATGAAATTCCTTTTTACTTGCAGCTCTTCAATAGATCTTTATGATATTGATTTATTCGCTAGGTAACGAGACTTCGAACCTTGAACTGAAGAGGATCATGGAAACGAAGATAATCCTCGAAGAACACTTGAGCAAAACTCAATTATGTGATCACAACTGCGACCTGGAAGTAATCGACCAAAATATCAATCAGACACACTGCGAAGAATTTCGTGACTGCCGGCATATTTCTACTCACACTAACTCTTGTAAAGTAAGTAAATAAAATAATACTTGTTTTAAAAGATGAGGCCTTTTAGCTTCATCAAGGCAAACAATTTTTAGGATCTTTTGAATTCAAATCTCTCTGAAGGTGCAATCTTTCGTTGAAGGTGCTACTCTGAAAAAAAATATGGTTTTCTGAACTAGAACATATTCATCAATAGTTACTTCAACTAATGCATAGTTCGAGTAACTGAAAAAAAAAGTTCCGAAAACTATATTTTTATATTTGTGACGTTATAATTCAGCTAACTATGCACTTTTGTCTCAGTTCATCTTTTACAAATGTATCCTATCACCTATATACCTCTAGAAGGCTTCGAATACACTTGATCAGAATGCAATCTATGTTTTATTTTTATACCTCTAGCCTGGGTCTGGAAAGAGTGATCTTTGTGATGAAAACCAGCATTCATGTGGTTACTGTATTTGCACTTGCATGATAAACTCTCAAAACTCAACACATATTACCACTGCCATAAACTTCAGGGAACAAGTGTCAGATATCTTCAACAACAAGTGAGTTTTACTGTCACTTTGCGCGTAAAATTGATGATAAATTATCATTGATAATCAATTTAATCAAAAAACTAGCTAATGAGGCCAATCTATTTTAGAGTGGTGGCAGGTGTAAAGTTTTCGGAGTCAAATAACATGATGCATATCAACATCTTGGAAAGTAAGCTTCACCCCGGAATGAATAATCTCTTCTACGGTGTAAAAATAGTATCTGAGACCATAGAATACAATGAAGAAGCACAAAACTACCATATCGTAAACGAAAACGGAACTGTGACTACTCTTATCCCAGGAGTTGACTACGGCCACCCAGAAACCATGTTTCTGGATGATGTAATCGCTCCTTATGGCCACGTAATTACTGGTGCAAAATTCAGGATAGCTGGAGACATTAAGGAACCACCAGTGACAACTGGACCCATTCAGCTGCAAATTCGGGTCACTCCTTTCGACTTCAGGAAAAATAAGCTTGTCAATCTTGGTAAGACACGATGGATAACTGCAAACTCCGCGAACCCAAGGTAAGTTTTTTTCATGTTTCCGTTCCAATAATTTGTAAAATTCTAACTCTCTGCATATTCTCAGAGAGGAAATGCTGCTAGAAGAACCCGATAACCCTACAAAGTCGCTGAAAAACCTCCCAGATTCAGCTCCCAATCAATTCATCAGATTTCGTCGTACTGATTTTCGTAAAGACGCCGGGCGGTCAATAGTCCCTTTCTTCGATGGTCAGATGATAGGTCGCAATGAGCCGCCTCCACTCGGAGGAATTGGGATCTATCATCGAGGCTGCAAAGGGTACGGTGGGGTTCTTGCTTTTAGAATTTTTGATGCTAACTTATCGAAACTTCTGGTGTCTGAACAGAAAAAAAAGACGCCATTCGGCCATACCCGAAATGGAAGGTAGATTTCATAGAATGAATTATCGTCTTCTATCAATAACTTTCGTTTGACATGGATAGGTTGTATTACACATTGCCTGAAAATGGTTCAATTGAACTGTTAACTTTGATAAAATAACTAATAATGGTCGAAAAGTTAGCGTTATATACGTTATACATACATAAATTTTTTAACTAATGTTATTTTTTAGCTTTACTCGACTAGTTAAGTGATATTACAACAAAATTCCGAGTAAATTCCGACATGAAGACCAATGCAAAAGATTGATTTCTATGAAATCTACCTAAAAATCGGGGGTCATTGGATGAGTAAGTAATTGAAGTACTCGTTGATTTGTCAAGATTGAGGCTTTACTTCCATTCAATAAAACCGATTGAAGTTGGTACATTTTCTCTGTAAGTCATGTAAATATCAATAAAGACCTTTGCTAAGTAATATTTGATATTTTATCAAGACATGCCTTTGTACAATCAATTTCTATATACTTTGATTTAGACTAATCAGATTTGCTATGTAGATCCTGCTAATTATAAAGATTCATCTTTGTCCACAATGAAGGAATTTTATAGAAATTTTTTCGGTTTTTGTTATTTCTTAATAAATTTATCTTAAGCGTTAAAAAAATCATAATTGACATATTAGTCACACCTCCCTAACTATATTTATGATGATATATTTCGAAATGTTCTAAAGAGTTATTAAAAATAATAGTCATTAATTGATTTAATAATGCAATAGACAGAAATTTTATTATACTGTCTATAAAATAACAAAAAAAAACCCGATCATTAAGAAATTTTACGATTTCGATAACCATCATCAATTTTTGGACTAAAATTAGAATTATATCGACTTTTATTCAACTAAGTCTTAAATTAATTGATTGCAATATTGCCGCGGCAAAAAAATCTAAACTAATATTTATCTTCGCTATTCTGATGACGTTACGTTAGGTTTATTGAAGAGGATATCAACAATCGGTAAATATAAGCTTTTACTAATGATATATCATTTCTTTTTTTTGTAAAATGATGATATCTCTGTCGAATTAAAGAGTTAGAAAGATAGTCGATGGACACTCGAGCTAATGATGAGATATCTATTTTATGATCCAACAATTAAACCGACCACAATTACTTTTTTGACTAATCAAGCTCTAATGGAAGAATAATCTAGTTACATAAAATCTATTTCAAGGACTAAAAAAAATAAAATTTCCGGTGATTGTACTTTTAGTGGCATCGTTAACTATTTTCGAATTTTTATATTGGGTATAAATCCATTAGTAGTAATTGTAACACTTCAAGAGGTTCAAGAAATAGAAGAAAAGCTTTCAATAAAGAAAATGCTGAGTAAAAACCTGATAATTATTATATTCTTCAGCATGATTTCTGCTAACAAACAGTTGAGTATAAGAAACATCAGTTCAATATTCAATTATCTCAAACAAATCGAATCTACGGCATTGAATGACTACAAATTCGATTCATCATTGAGCGATGAAAAGAACGAAAAACTGTTGGACAAAATTAATACCGATAAGGTAAAAGTATTTACCCAATTGAAATCCATGTCGTCAGAGTTTGATGAAACCTACGATGAGTCTGAATGGGCTGACATCATTGCAATGATAGGAATCAACGGTTTCAAATTAAAACCAGACTATATGGTTCCCTACTTTTTTTCCGTAGGAAACGATATAGATAATTTATTGAAGAAGATTGATTCATCCATGGTATTTTTCAAACCAATTGGACGGATGAGTTTGTACAATGGTAGCGTTAGTAACTTTTGCACATATACGTTACCAACGCTTGATACTTTCTTTGAGACGCTACGTCACGAAAGTTTGGCTAAGTTGTATATAAAATTCATCGGACGAATGGTTAAGACCGAAATGGTTTCAATTTTTACAGAGCAGGTATTTATTTTGTCTTTAGTATTGGATGAATGTGTTGAATACAATTTTTGAGCTAGGTCTACGTTCAGACAAAAAGTTTATCCTGTTGCTTTAATTATAACTGATAAATATAACCTATTAGTATTAGCGTCTAAGATTTAGACTAAGTAGATACTAATTTAGAATTTTTGTCTTGAAACTGACAAATTTTTGGATATATCATAAATCAATATATGTAAGTCGTCTGTCTCGATGACTCAATTGCTTCTGTTAAAAACAAAGTATCTTTCATTAATTGATGAATTTTTTCATTCACAACTTTTCATGTTACATACATTAAGAAAAAAAATTAGGAAAACGGTTGACCCTAAAGGCCATTCCTACAACTTCCCGCTAATTCCATACTTGAGGGCTCAAAATTTTATATTACGTATTTGAGCTCTTCGAGCTCAAAATATGATTTTCGTGTCATTTTGAGCTTTTCGAGCTCAAAAGTCTAATAGAAGTTTAATAAAACACCATTTTTTGAATTTTCAAACTGCAATAACTTTTGAATGAATGAAGCGATTTTTACGTGGTTGGCGGCATTCGACGCAATTTTTAAAGCCCCATACAGAATCTTCAAGTTTAAATCAATCAAGTCAGGAATTTCGAAGTTATTCCGAAAAAACACTTTTTTCGGTTTTCTTTCGACAACGATAACTGACGAACGAATCAACCGATTTTGACCGGGCTTACGGTGATCGACGTGGTTTTTTTTATCTTAAGCGTTGATTAGAATTTGAGTTTGGAATTGATCGGTGAAGCCATTTAAAAGGAATTCTAAAAACACCTCATTTCAAAAAATTTTTTTTGGTAGTTTTTTTGAGATTTCTCAAAATCTACTGGTTCGAATAGGTTCAAATGGTATTCAAAATCTAAGTTTGGTCAAGCCCTTTCGAATGGCGTCAACCGCGATGAAATCGATCAGGCTGTTCAAAAGTTATAAGAGGGTCACATACACACACACACACACACACACACACACACACACACGCGCGCGCGCGCATACGGACATCATCGCGAAAACATACAGGGAAGCTTCCTAGGACCTCAAAACGTAAAGATTTGATGAAAACTCGATTATGAAAAACGGGGTAAAACCAGTAACTTCTCGATTTTTTTAAATTTTCTTAGCGGGAAGTTAAAAATCGACACATACACACACACACACACACACACACACACACACACACGCGCGCGCGCGCATACGGACATCATCGCGAAAACATACAGGGAAGCTTCCTAGGACCTCAAAACGTAAAGATTTGATGAAAACTCGATTTTGAAAAAACGGGGTAAAACCAGTAACTTCTCGATTTTTTTTAATTTTCTTAGCGGGAAGTTAAAAATTACTATTGAGAAAAAAAAAAGCGCTCTCGTTACAAGAATTTGAAATGTTGGAAATTTTCAACATTTTGTGTCATAAAAAACTTGAAATCTTGAATGAAATACGTGTTGATTCTCTTTTAAATTGTTTCTTTCTGCAGGAAAAAAAACGGGATATTCTAAAAAAAATACTGCGAGAAAAATGTGATTTCTTCAGCTAAAGAAGAAAATTGTTGAAAATTTCCAACAATTTGAATTCTTATAACAAAAATTCTAATTTTTCTTAAAATTCATTGATTGTTTCAGTATAATATGACTATAATTACCTTTTTGATCACGTCATTGTGCGAATTAGTATATAAGTTACGTTAGATTTTTACATTTATTTGCGTATGAAATTGGTGGATGGAATATTCACTACTCATGTGTGAGTGCACACTCTCTATTCGTTTTGTCAACACTTTCATATCCGAAACCTCCATCTACTCAGTTACATAGTATGCTATTACGTTGCATTTTAAATCACAATTTATATCACGTTCATAAAAAATGTTTCGATTTTATTTAATTAAATTGCATAGTGGATTATCCTTTCGTAAAACATATTTACTGCATTATTTTCAATGAAGAAATTTTATTATTTAATTATCTAACTAAAAAAACATAAACTTTGACATCTGATAATATATAACAAGATAGAATTATTTCTTCTCGGGTAAAGTATTAATCTATCTACTGTTATTGATCTGTCTATTGATCTGTCTACTTGTAGATTGAGAACCAAATAAATTTGTGTGGGAAGTTGATGTCCTTTAACAGAGCACTATGGAGTTACTATCATATAATGATGATGGGACACATAAAATACTGTGTTTTGATGTACTACAAGTGGGCAATGGATGTAAGATGTGCGAATGGTACGTATGCAACTCAGTAAATAATTTGCAAGATTTTTTCTGCTCGTTAAAAGATAAAATAATAGTGTTGATATAATTTCCGCATTATAGAACCTATTGTATACGATATAAAGTGGTTAGACTTAGCAACCGAACAAGCGCAGAAAATGATGAATGAAACAAAAAGAGCTCTTAAAAACGTCAACTACTATGTCCATAATTGTGATCCAACTTTTGAAGAACTAGGTAAAGTGATAAATTTTTGTAAAAAGTTGTTATTACTGATGAATTAAGGAGATGTTTGTGTTCACGCATAAAGAATATGGTGACACCGAAATTGAATTGAAGAGGATGATTCAAGCGGTTCTGATGGATGAAAGCGGCCTTAGTACAACACAATCTTGCGGCCATCGTTGCAATTTGGAATTGATTGGCAATACGGTTAATAACACAGAGTGTCAGGAACTCCGTGATTGTCAGTACATTGATCATGATGTTGAAATCTGTCCGTTGGTAAGTTGGTAAGTCCATATTGGAAATTAGTTGGTAACTATGTTACGTTCTAGGAAAAAAAGTCTCGACGCTACAGTTGGTTCCGGGACAGCGCAGGAAATGTTTATGGTCACAACAAAACCTGTGAAAACCTGAAACTGCTAACTAGTAAATCTAAACGCAACGACCAGGAATTATGTGGTTACTGTCTTTGTACTTGTGTGACGAGACCGTCAAAATCGTTTTATGTTACCACGGCGATGAGCTTTAGAGAACAAGTCTCGAACATCGAAGAAAACATGTTGAGTTTCATTATCATTGTTACTTTTGATGTTTTGGTCCGGTAATAGTATATTACGACCCAAGGCCAGAAAGTTGGATTTCCTGGCGTATGTGATATGATGGCCGAGGCGTAGCGGAGGCTATCATGTCACATACGTCAGGGCATCCAACATTCTGGTCATGGGTTTTATACTATTTTTCTTGCTCTCCAGCCGAAAGTACGCAACCCCGGGGAAGGGGTTTTGCAAAACCGAGGCGAAGCCGAGGTTTTGCCGGGGGCGAGGGGGGCGCCGCCCGACTTTTGTAAAGCCGAGGCGAAGCCGAGGTTTTACTGGTCGGGGCGGGCATAATAAAAAAGTAAAAATAAATAAATAAAAAAAAAAATAAGTTATTTTAAAGTTTACTAACAAACGCTCTGATTAAGAGAGATAACATGCACATAACTTGAAACAAATATTTAAACTCGATTTAATAACAGAATTAATTTTTTTAAGTTGATTAAAAATTAGTTTTTAATTAGACGGCTAAGAAAGATTGAAATTTAATTATTAGAAGCTTGTAGAGTACATGGATTATTTTATAAACAAATCGCTTTACTATAGCTGTCAAAATATAAAAGAAAGCAAATAAAATCTACAAAACTTTTATATTTTATTTTCTAAAATTTTTATATAAATTATTTGTGCAGTATTATATTATTAAATAGTTCATTAACAATAATCTAGTAAGAAATTATTTTTATTTATTTGACACTTTTTGGTTAGTTTATGTGTTGACATGTTACATATAGACGATGTTGTGACTGTTATATACAGTCGAAACTCGCTGTATAGGCCGGTCGCACCACGAAAGTACGAAAGAAAGCGAAGCTCTGTGCTGCCGGCCAGAAAATATGCGTAGCGCGCATGCGTAGAGAGCCGGCTGAGCCGGCCATAAATGTTGCTCTTCCTGGAGTAAAATGCGTCCAGGATGAGCGTACTTTCGGCTAGGAGAGCAAGAAAAAAAATTTTCTGATCTGGCCATATATGACCTGATAGGTTCATACACGTCCCAGTTCGATTTTGCTACAATATAAAAAAACGAAATTACTGAGAAATGTGTTGTAGTAGCAAAGGAGTATCCTCATAGCAACAAATCCATTAGTTACCTTCACAAAATTAGTCAAGCTATAAAAACAAACCAGTTTGTTACGTAACAGAAATAATATGTTGTCCTAATAAAATTATTTTGTTAGAACAACAAAATAATTTTGGTACCATTACTCTGTTGATTTTGTTGTAGTGACATTATTCTGTCGCGGTAACAGTGATTTTGTCGCCAAAAATAATTGCAAAATTTTCAGAAGCTTTTCTCCAAAACTGTCAATGAAGTTATAGCTTACAATTTTTTTATTATTCAAAAAGGTATATCGTTAACAACCACTAGATTTTCAAGCTCGGAGAGCTCAAAAATGTAGAGAAGTTGTGTTTTTGAGCTCAAAGAATTTAAAGTTCGGAATAGATGATCAGTCGAATTTTGAATTTGTACATAGCGGGAAGTTCCAGAAATGACTTGCAGGGTCAATCGTTTTCCAGATTTTTTAAATTAAGCTAATAAAATTATTAATTATTTGAACAAAATAATTTAGCTATTTCAACAAAAACATTTGTTATACCAACTGATTACCAACACTAAAGTACTTTAGTGAATTAACTTAATGATTCTGCTATAACAACAAAACTGTTTTGTTGTTATAACATATAAATTACTTACGCTACAAAGCACTATGCTTACATATTAATTTGGTACCTGAACTGTCTCAGGCTGTCTTAACAAAATTTTTTTTTGCGCGTATGTCGACCGATGTGAGTAATTTTCATATGAAGCCCTATATTGACATACCAGGCCATATCAAAAAGTTTTTGACGGAATAATATGATATTAATCATAAATTAACTGATTTCAATTATTCTAGGGTTATAACCAGCGTCCAGTTCACAGAACAAGACTATATGATCCACATCCAAACAATGGAAGCTCAATTTTCTCAAAGCAGTCAAATGGGGGATGATCGATGGAAACCCCTGGAGAATTTCGATTACGATGAAGCAACAGAACAATACTATATAATTAACAGAAACGGAACGCATATTCCTCTTTTATTGGGCGTCGATTACGCACGTCCAGAAATTATGGACTTAGATAACGTGATGGCACCTCGCGGTTACGTGGTCACCGGGGTGAGGTTCCGATTTGCAGGAGATTCACTCGAGAAGCCAAAGTTAAAAACTGGCCCGATACAGTTGCAAATCCGTGTTACGCCTTTTGACTTTATCCGAGGTAAGCTTATTAATCTCGACAAAACACATTGGATTGGACCCCAATCTTCAATTCAAAGGTCAGTTTGGCTTTCTACCCAATACAACTCTACTCATGCTTATTGATAGTAAAATTATAAAATTATAAACGTATTATTTTCAGACGTGAAATGAAGTTAGAGAATCCAAATAGGCCAACGAGATGTCGGAAGAATAATCCAGACTCAATTTCTAACCAATTTATCGAATTTCGCGCTTCGGATTTACGCAAAGACGCTGGACAATCAACAGTTCCCTTCTTTGATCGACAGATTGTGAGTTTTTATGATACGTCGCCATTTGGAGGGCTTGGAATTTATCACCGTGGGTCCAAAAAATGTGGCGGTTACTTGGCTTTTCGAGCTTTTGATTTTGAACTTTCTAAATTTCTAGTAAATAGATTTTAAGAAAAAAAATTCATACGAAAGTTTGGAAAATTCAAAAGTGCACGACTCATGATGCTCATTTAGTTATGAAATAACAATAAAATAAAAAATTTTAAAAGAAATCCCATAATAAAATTGAGATGAAATGTATGTGAAACCAATCTATTCGTGATGTGATTGGTTGAATATATCATGTGCATGAAAATATATGCAAACTCTATAGTCAAGGCGCGCGCAAATTTGAATTCTAGTATTCTATAAAACAGCTGTATAAAGATGATAATGCGCAGGCGCCCCTAGTGGGATAAATGTACATAATATGTATAAATATATCGCCATACATATTAATTTTAAATGAATATATAATAAGACTAGCCGTTCCCACCCGCCCGCTTCGCTGGGCAAATTGTAAAAGGAAATAAATTAAATTTTTTATTTAATTTTGATTTTTTTTTATTCATATTTTTATTATTCTTCTTTCTTTTATTTTTGTATAAACATAAATATGTCCCACGGATAGAATTGTAAGTATCGATATTGTTTTGAATTGTACAAATTCCAAATTCCATTGAATTAGCCTGTACCTTTTATCCATGTGATTTTTCTAGCTAATATTCATTATAACTTTCAATGTGAAATCATTATAACATTTCCGTGGCTTTCTTATAAAAATTAATAATAGTTGAGACGAAGAAAAAAATCTGAAAAAACGGTTGACCCTAAAGGCTATCCCTGCAACTTCTCGCTAATTCCATATCCAAGAGCTTAAAATTTTTCATTGTAAGCACCCACCCCCGCGATTCTTATTGGAGGTGATTTGTTGTGAAATCCGCTCTTAGATCATTTCTATATCACATATAGAAGACTCCTCCTAAATTAGGAGCTATAGCTCGGAAATTAAAAATTTTTATTGTTAACACCGACCCCCGCAAACCCCTGTGAGGTGAGCTATTGTAAAATTCGTTCGTATATTATTTCTCATCTCTTACGGAAAATTCCTATCCAACTTGGAGTCTATAGGAGCTATAGTTGAAAAACAGGAATTTTTCATTCTTAACGCCCCCGCAAACCTCTTTAGGGGAAGAATTTCTTAAAATCCGTTCTCAGCTGACCTCTACATGGCAAAAGTAATATTCCTACCAAATTTCAAGTTTCTTGGTCCGATGGTTCCCGAGATTTCGTGATAAGTGACTATATCTATAGAAAGTCTCTTATATATATAAGATATATATCTTAGATATAAATAACACATAGATTTTGAATTTTGTGCAATTTTAATAAGGGTAATACTTAGTTAGATTTATAAAAATGAATTGACAAAACTGTTGCCATAGACAATAATTCATATCATAACGTTGAAGATGCGTGGGTGAATGCATGGAAGTGCGTAAGTGGATGCGTGGGAGGGTGTGTGGAAATGCGTTTAAAAGCGTTAAAGTGACGTTAGAAATTTTGCCAGTCTTTATGCGCTCGAATATGGAGAAGAAGTGATGTTCATTTGTTTTAGTAGCAGAAACAAATGACTATCCATATAAATTTGAAAAAAATGGTAAAGGGTTGATGGAATTTAAAAAATTAATAGCCTAAAACCCTCTACGATTGATTCCGCGTCGAATGGTGATGGTCTCATGCCTATAGGTCCAATAGTTTTCAAGTTTATCGGAAACAAAAAAAAAAGTTACTTATATATATGTATAGATATATTTTCCACCCACGCATCCGCCCACGCATTCACCCACGCGTCCGCCCGCGCGTGGGTAGATAGAACTAAATTTTCAAAAAAGAAACGTAATACAAATTATTTCCTTTTATGTTGATAAAAAAAAAAACAATTGCAGTGAAATATTATTTCTTTGAACTCAGCAAGCTCAAAATATCACATAAATTATATTTTGAGCATAAAAATCTCAAAAATGTCATAAGTACAATTTTAAGCGCCCAGGAATGGAATTAGTGGGAAGTTGCACGGATGGCCTTTAGGGTGAACCGTTTTTCTAATTTTTTTTATTATTTTTACTATCTAATCATAAGTAGTTGCTTACAATTTCTTCATAAAATCAGATCTAATCATTTTTCTCCATATTACTAATATGCAATGCGAGATTTAATTTTTTTTTTCTTTCATCATCTTAAATTTATTCAATTTCTATTTAGAATATGAAAACATAGACATCGAATTGAAAAATATGATGAAATCGGTAATGATCGACGAAAAAAATATATTTTCAACGGAAAATTGTGACCACCGTTGTGACATTGATTTGATTAACAAAGCACGTATCCACGAAAACGAGTGCAAAGAATATCGAGATTGTACATACATCCGCGACAATAGTATAACCCACCCCTCGAATTTTTTTATATTTACTGTAAAACTAAATACAAGTAAATAAATTCCTAACGCGCCAGCATTGTTTTCTTGATTCTAGTACTATGGTATATATATATAGTTACGTTTCGATGCTGCTTTGTTACGCAGCGGCGAAGTCATTGGTTTGATAGCGCGACAAAAGTATAACCCATTCGTCTCATTGGCTCAAGCAGCTCGGTGCACTGGACATGTCAATTCATGTTTATACTTGTTTCGTGTAACTCGTAAGTTCTTACGCATAAATAAATTGTTTAAGTTAATATTTGTCTATTTTTTATTTAAAATGCCACGGGGAAAACACTTAAACGAAACTGAAATTAATATAATTAAAAAATTGCATTCTGAAAATTATTCTAAGGCCAAAATCGCAAAAATCATCAACAGAAGTCATCGTGTTGTGCGAAATTTTTTAAAAGATCCCGACAACTATGGTAAGAAAAAACGGACAGGTCGACCGAGAGCAACTACACCAAACTACACTAAAGAAGGTCAATTCTAAGAGTTGCGTCAAATTCTACGCTTACCGCAAGACAAATCGCAGCGGAGGCTGGTGTTAGTACTAATTTAAGAAACGTTCAACGCATTATACGTGAGTGTGAGCATTTAAAACGTAAGAAATTACCAAAAAAACCACCGTTGTCTGCTAAACATAAACTAGTTAGATTACAATTTGCAAAAGATCACGTTCAATGGAAAAAAAAGTGGCGAAAAGTTATTTTTTCTGATGAAAAGAAGTTTAATTTGGATGGACCTGATGGTTTTAATTACTATTTTCACGATTTAAGAAAAGATAATTTTATATTGAGCCGTCGGCAAGCCGGAGGTGGTAGTGTAATGGTATAGTCTGGCATTGGATACTCAGGTAAAATGAATATTAAGTTCTGTTCTAGAAAAATAACTAGTAAACGATATATAGAAGTAATAAACGAGAAAATTAACTCTCACGCAATGCGAATTGCTGGCCCTAATTTCATTTTTCAACAAGATAATGCCAGTATCCATAGAGCAAAGGTAGTTAGAGACTATTTTAGTGAAAAAAATATTCAAGTTCTTGAATGGCCAGCATATTCTCCTCACTTGGACATAATTGAAAATTGTTGGGGAAATTTATCACGAGCTGTCTATCGTGGATCAAGACAATTTACATCTGTTGAAGAGTTAAAAAAGGTCATAGTTGACGAGTGGCAAAATATAAATCAAGACATAATTAAAAAGCTATATGACAGTTTACCGGACCGAATGATTGAGGTGATAAGTAAAAGTGGTGGATCTACTAAATATTAGATTACATGAATGATTATTGTTTGTTATATTTTTCTCGAATTTTTATTTAAATTTCATTACCTGGGTTATACTTTTGTCGCACTGCAAAACCCAATAGCATTTGTATTTGGTTAATTATGCATTTAATAAATAATGTATTGATAGTATAAGAAACTTACTAACACCCAAATTTTGTGCATTAGTAATTCATTGTTCAAAGATGCCAAATATTTATATGCTGAATATGAAATCATAAATTCTGAGTGTGGCTTTTGCCTTTGTACATGCGTGTCAAAACCTTCGAAGACAGGGAACGTTATTGCGGCTTTCAGTTTTCGGGAACAAGTATCAGACATCCTCAATAACAAGTAAAATTTTTACATTTAAGTATCATAGTTACTACCCTCAAGTAAAATTGATCTGAGACAAGTTTCTTGACAAGGTTCTTTAAAAAAAAATTTGATAATTCTTGAACAAAACAGTTAATCAAGATTATGTATTTAGACTAGCGTCAGACTTGAACAAACTAATGGAAGCAGAGCGTTTAGCAATTCTTTGTTAAGTATATATCTCAAGTTTACAGCACAAATTTTACAAGATTTTTGATCAAGATTCTTGACCTACTCTTTTGCGGAAAAACCAAGAGTTCATGAGCGCGCACCTCTTTCTTATTAAGACATGAGAAATATAACATTACAATTCTTTTCATTTGAAATCTTGTTTATAGTGTGATCAACTAGTACGATTTGTACGTAAAATGAGAACCTCTGCTTTTACAAGCAAGTTTTAAAGCGTGGTAGTAGGCTGTCAGATTTCCTACCATTTTCTTGCTCAAAATTTGTCCAAGAATCTTTACGAACTACCTGTAGCAATTATTGAACAATTCTTGAACAGGAATCTGTCGACAGTATCTAGCACTAGAATTGTCAAGATCTGGATGCAGATAATACAGAATCTTAAGTCAGATTTGTTCGAGACTTGAGAAATATTATTACTGGGGTAAGTCAAAAAAAGATTTACTCTAATGAGTTTTTTCAGAGTGATCACTGCTCTTCAGTTTATTGAAAAAAACAACATGATCCACATTCAAGTAATGGAAAGCGAGCTGATGCCTTCGGGAGAAACTGATCTAGCTCCTTGGAAACCTCTCGAAAACTTTATCTACAATGAGAAAACTGAGATGTACTATGTTGTCCATGATCAATCCATAGTAACTTTGGTACCGGGAGTTGACTATGGCCATCCAGAAATAATGAACCTAGATGATGTGATTGCTCCACCAGGTCACCTAATCACCGGTGTGAAATGGGGATTCGCCGGGGATTCACTCGAGAAACCACAGATGAAAACTGGTCCAATGCAGATGCAAGTTCGTGTCACTCCGTTTGATTTTGATCAAGGAAAGCTTATTGACCTTAACAAAACACATTGGATAACTCCTAATTCTGAAAATCCGAGGTAAGATTCATTTCGTTGTAGCTCTTGAGACCTATAACATTTTTGATGGTACTGATTTTGATTTAATTTCAGGACAGAAATGGTGCTGGAGCGATCAGACAATCCATCGGAGGCATCTAACAACCCCCCTGACTCCAAAACGAATCAATTCATCAAATTTCGGACTACTGATTGGTGCAAGGATTTTGGAGCAAGAACAGTTCCATTCTTCAATGGACAGACTGTGAGGTTCCTTCCGATGACTGCTCTTGGAGGCGTCGGGATTTTCCACAAAGGAATAACAGGATATGGAGGATATCTTGCATTAAGAGTTTTTGATTTGAATTTTTCTAAATTTATGAATTCGGAACTTATTTGATAAGTTTTTGAAGTCCTTTGTGTTAATATTAAAGTTAGAAGTCAATAAACAAATTGCGGTATAAATTACAATACCAAAATTCCTTGTTTGGTTTAGAATATTGTTTCAAATAGTTTCAAATAAGAAAATATATAATGTATCTACGGGCAATAAAACCTGAGAAGAGATATTTGTAATATGAATAAATATAGCTATAAATTTTTTTGTTAATCATTATTTATGATATTTCCTGTAAAATATTATAGAAAGGTGAAAAATTTCTATTATAAACAATAACCAAATTGAGCATTTAAAGTGTAGAAAGCTGATAAGTCCTTTGACTTTAACTTACTTATTCAGATTCACGTAAAAAATTTTTCGATATGGCTTGACCTAATCATACACTGAGAAAACAGTTTGTTTGATTTAAATTCGTAGATTTGTTCAAAATAACTTAAAAATACGTATTTAATATAAACATATTTGTTTCATTTAAATTTGGATTACTTTGAACCAAATACTATTTTGTTTTGGTTTATTTGATTGAATTCGCCCAATAATTTCATTCAAATGAGATTTGTTAATAGTTAACAAATCTCGTTTGAAATAAATCATGCGACGTTTGTGTCGATACTGTCGCTATTTAAGTTATCGTAAATTTAATACCTTTATCGTTGCATGTTACAATTGAGCAATGTTGTATACATACATAAATTTTTGACGAGTTTGATAATGGAAAAGAAAACTATCAAAATCCAACGCGGATCTAATAATTTTAGCTTATTTGAAGATATCCCAATATAAATCATATAAATAAAATCAACCTTTGCTAAAAATATGTCAGATATTATTTACTATATTACAGAGCATGATTTCTTTATCAAAATTCAAATACTACATTTGTTTATAGTTAACAAATTTGATTTGACTGAAACAAATAATTAATTATTTCATTTATTTTATTCTGGAAATAAATTTTCATTGGACAGCATTGCTCTGAGAGTGATTTTTTTTCCGTATACATATAGTCGAGATCAGGAGAAGGAATCAACTCAAGTTTTGTTTTCGGTTAGAGTAACCAATTTTGTTTACATTTAAAAGAAAATGTACTTGAATGATAAATAATGTAAGAAACTTATCGCTTAAATTGGATATTTTCCATTTCATTCCAAAAATGTCTTAGATAGCTTTATGATTCGCTACCTTATTTTTCGTTTTTTTTTTTTAACGTTATAATAAGTCATAATGTGTACAAAAAATATATTCAAAAAGATAAAAAAAAACATATTAACGATCATTAATGGTATGTCTTCAACAAAGAACATTTCAGGGAATAAATGCCAATTAAAAAATATTTCTTATCGTCTTTGTACAAATAAAGATAAAAAATCACTTTATCACCTTGTAAATGTAACATTCTTATTTTATTATACCAGACTTTTGATCACGACTTCAGTTTATTTTTCCAATTTGACTCCAAAATGTCAAAAAGTATCTGCGTGCTGACGTCAATACTTTTGTTTATACAAAATAGTGCACTTATTAATGCAACCAAGGTTAATATTAATGACATCAACTCAATCTATGGCTACTTCGATAAAATTGCAAGTAAAGCTATCGACGACTATGAAATAGATTCACGATTGACTACCGAAGTGAATAAAAGAACACTGAACATCATGTTCGACGACAAAAATAGAGTTTTCAACGAATTGTCCAACATTTCAATGAATTTGAAATACTATCACAGTAACAAAAATTGGACACGTGTCATGCGGTTAATGGAAAATTATGAGTATCAAAAGATTGCGAAGTTCGACTTATATGATTTATTTTCGCGAGAGAACGAACTATCAGAATTGCGTAGAAGAATAGAAGCAGCTACGAATGCTTTCAAATTTGTTGGTAGATTGGAGGAATTTAATAATGCAGAGAATTTTTGCGCAGAGGTTTATCCAGTTGCTAATTTTTTCTTGGAGCCTTTACACCGTGAATCGCTGTCTGAAATTTACTCCGATTTCATGAAGATGGTCAGGCATCAAATTATTGCCATCAAGGTAAGTAGCGTCATAGGAATCGAAATTAGATGAATAATGTCCAATATTAATTACCAGTAATGAAGAAAACGGCGATTCTAACTGTTTTGAACGGATTACAGAAAAAGACCCCAAACATAGCAGTTTTTCTGCGAGCATCATTTCATGATTATTATCAACTGATGATGGTAGTCCAGATGAAGTTGATTGGTTTGAAATTTTTCAATTCTCTTACAGAACGGCGGTGTAGAAATGGTAGGTTTTTTTTCATAATGATGAGTTACATCAATCAATTGACTTAGTAATTCAAGTAAGTTTTCAATTTTTGATACTTAAAAGGCTACCATATCAACAGCTTACATTACTCATATTGGCCGCGATTCGCGTTGAAGGAGACCCAACAAATAATGAAAGAAACATTGAAGACTGTGAAGAGTCTCAATTGCTATGCAGATGATTGTGAAGTAGGTCCACAACACCAAGGTGGGTTGAATAGTAGGGAGGTCATGTGATGTCATGATCTCTGCTTGAGATGAGATTTGAGAACTGTACCACCACTTACTTCCGATTGAGTTTTGGTAACGTGCGGATACACATATTAATAAATACTCTTAACTATTAATTGGTATTGTTTATTTAAAAGGCCCTACCTAATTCTAACACTATGAAATAGGATAGATGTACCGTTTTTGGCCACCTTAGCACCGTTTTTGGCCAGTTAACGTTTGAATTAATTTATATAAAATTATAATATTATTACCATATTTTTGTTGAGTTTTAAAAAATTTATATTAAAATAAATTGAGTTTGTAATGGTTTATTAATTTAAATTCATTTCTATCGTTTATTTGAACAATAAATGGCCATAAACGGTACAGTGGCCACAAACGGTACTTCTACCCTATACATTGTAAAATAATCAATTGATTCAATCGAAATATTCTTGGTTCAAAAAAAAAGTTTCGTGGTTCAATTTTGACAGGATTCGAGTAATTTTGAAAAAACTGCTTTTTCTTCTGCTAATCCTATCGAACATCAAAGGACTGACAAAGATTTCACTAATATTTTCTTATTGCACATTATCACAATAATGTTAGCTTTACCTTCGTTTGTAATCAGTTAAGAAACTCTTTTTTTTTATTTTTAATTATACGTTAGGTAATTTTCATAATCTCTGGACTAAAATTGGAAGTTTTAAGACCTCTTTAGCCGGGCGAAACAAGTTCATTTTAAACTAAAGCCGTTAAAAAGTTTAAGTGCACGTGTGCATTGCTAATGCTTCTAATTAGTGGAAAGAAAGCAAGCAAATTTCGTTGTGATTTTAATATGGCTTTTCTAGTGATTATAAAGCTTCTATTAGTTTATTAGTGATGCATCTTTACTAAAATAAAAAATAAAAAGAAAATTCAAACCTACCCAGTTAACACATCTGAAATTAAGTTGACGTAAAACCGTAGCCGGAATAGGACGTAAAGTTTCCGGCAGTAGATTTGTGTCAACTTGATAAGTAAGTTCAAGTCAAGTTCTGTAAAACTGTTGCAAATGCAAAAGTTGACGTGAAGTTTATGTAAACTTGACGTAAACCATTGAACATCAACTGGTTGATTGTCAATTCGTGCTAACTGAGTATTCTTTCTGGTTTGTGGATTATTGCATACCTTAAACGCGAGCGCGAATGTGTTCTATAATATCGTCTACATATAAATAATTAAATACAAAAAGCACACTTTAAAAGAAAATACCATTAAGATTATCAAAATTGTTTTTAAATCGATAAATTGCTATTTTTACATTAAAAAGTGGTTTTAATAGCTCATAGTGTGGATTGTTCAAGTTTTTGTGTAGAAGCTCAAAAAATTTTAGAAAAATCAATTTTTTAAGTGAATTTATCTGTTAATCTATTCATCGACCTGATGGGAAATTTTGGAATGAACATTGCAGGTCAACATTGTTTTTTTTAGTTATAATTAATTATTTTCTTCTGGCAGTCGAAGAAATTGTTTGTCCTTTGAGGAACCATGTGTAAAAATTTCTTTTTGAGTATATAATAGCTCAGGGACAGCTGATATTATACTCAATTGTTCCACTGACTGGAGGCAGGCTAGGGGCCATTCATTAATTACGTAAGGACAATTTTGGTCAATTTTGACCCCCCTCCCCTCCCTACCCCCATGTAAGTTTACGTAAGATATACGTAAAGTATACGTAAGATTTCTCGAACCCTCCCCCCCTTCCCCTTTTTTACGTAAGATTCTATCTTGATCTTCTAAATAATAAACTTTTATATTAGAAAAGGATCAGTTTCACTAAAACTTACAGTTCAACGCGGATCCATAATTTTTATTTTTTAACAAGGAATAATTTAAATAATACTAGCAAACATAAATCATTAAAACTACAAACTCATAACATTGTTCATAAAATAATATTTGACTAGTTTTAAATTAGTCTCAAAAACATAAATTAAATAGTTAAAGCTAGATCAATTAAAATTATTAATCTTCATCCGGACTAAACGAACTTTTAATCCATGTCATCCACTCAGAGACAATTGGTAGCTCATCAGATGTAACGGCAGATCGAAATGTTTTTTTATTTTTTAAATAATAAAAATATGATAATACACGGAAAAATGTGCTATAATTTTTTCTATAGAACCAAACATGGATAACAATAAAAACATATAAAATTTTAATAAGTTATTTTTTATTTTTTTCAATAAGCAACAAAAATTATTTAAATAAAATTATTTCACTCTCCCCAAACCTATGAACAGAAAACATTATGTTTTCCTCTATATAGGATTTAAATGTACAATATCTATGTATGTATGTATATTTATCTATCTTTTGGGAAATAAATAAAATAAAAAATAAAAATAAAAATTCGACTGTACACTTTAAAATTAAGAAAACAATTTGGAATCCGAAATGGAAAGATTTTTAATCTTGAATTTTGATTCACAAAATATTACGTAAGAATGAATTTTACCCCCCCCCCCCCCCACCCCCCAACGTAAGAACTTGTAGAGATTTTCTTAACCCCCCCCCCCTCCCCCTCAATACCCATACGTAATTAATGAATGGCCCCATTATACAGTCTTCACTTAGAACTTTTTTTATGACACACGCATCGGAACAACAAAGGGCGTTCAATTCTTATAGAAAAAATTATATCCACAGAAGAATTTAAACAAGCTTTGAAATTGAATTGCAAATAAAATTAATTTCTTGTAACTTATTATCAAAAGTACGTTTTCAATTTATTTTTATTACTGCACCGTACGATAGATGATTATTGTTTTCGTTCCATGGAATCTTAATATAAAATCATTAAAAAATTACAAATAACATAGAGGTTTATCAGTAAAAACTTGTATATTTAACCTCCACTCTGATTAATTTACGTATGACAGAAGCTCTTAAAGCATGTACATTTGGATTAATCAAACTTATATTCTTTTGTTAGAAAAACAAAAAGAGACGCTACAAATGGTTTGAAGACGCCAATGCAACAGTTCACAACAACAACAAAACTTGTCATGAAACCATCACAATTCTCAATGAATACGAATCATTAGACGATAATTGCGGATATTGTCTTTGCACTTGTGTGTCCAAACAATTACGGTCACCTTACATGACCACGGCCATCAGTTTCAGGGATCAAATATCAGATATCTACAATGACATGTTGAGTATTCTAACTTCAATATCAAGGTCTATCAAGCTAGCATGGTCTCTTCCATGATACATTGACTAACTATTCAAGCAGCAACATTTATTTGTTGTGCCAAATTTGTTGCTCTATTTAGAGTTTTGTTACTTGTCTAGATTCCGAGTAATTATTAATAATATCCATTCAAGATACGTTGTGCCACTGCAAGCTTGACGAAGCGACAGTATCGAGAGAAAGCAGCATTAAAACGAACCTTGAATTGTTCTAGGGTGGTCACCGGTTTAAGATTCGTCGAGAAAGATGACATGATCCACATGCAAATCATGGAAGGCCAGTTGTTTATGAATGGACGAGGCCACTTGAATCGGTGGAAGCCTTTGGAGAAGTTTGATTTTGATCAGAATACGGGGATGTATTACGTAGAAAACGGAATAGATATGATGACACCATTATCGTCGGGAGTTGACTACGGACATCCAGAGACAATGAACTTAGACTACGTGGTTGCGCCAACAGGTTATGTCATCACTGGCGTAAGATTCAGAGTTGCTGAAGATTCTATCGATAATCCACTTTTGGGGAATGGTCCGATTGAACTGCAGATACGAGTCACGCCGTTTGATTCTGTCCACAGAAAACTTTCAGATATCCATCAATCACGTTGGGTGGCTTCTCAATCTTTAAGGTAAACTTTTTTATACTGCATGTCTTAAAAGCACAAAACACTGAGGTATGCATTATGGCTTGGAAATGAAAACTCGTTGATTGCAGCTTTTAATTCGTTTTTAGATTATTTGTATAGATTACGTAGTGGAAAAATGCACACCAAAACAAAGATAAAACATCAATCAATAAATTTGATAAATTAAATCGTACACGGAGAGGAAAATATGGAAATCATTCCTATAATTTTAATGAAATATTTTCCTATACCATTTTAGGAGCGATTACTTAAATTATGGGAATTATACCCATAATTTTTGGGAAACGTTACTATAATTATGGGAATGGTTCCTATAATTATAGGAACGATACCTATAATTAAGCTAATATCGGCATGATTCCCATAATATATAGGAATGGTTCCCATAATATATAGGAATAGTTTCCATAATATTATAGGAACCATTCCTATAATATTTATTTATTTATTTATTTATTCGATTTATATGCCAAGGCATCAACCAAATGGCAAAAATACAAAAATAAGTGATATAAAGTATATGTAAGACTATAAACAGGTCTATATAAACACATTAACAATACAAAATTAGAAAAAGAAAAATAATCAATTAATTACAATCAGTCAAAGTGGAATGAAATAGGAGTAACAAGGAGTTTAAAAATATAAGTGCCAGACTGTTAGATATAATGTACTGCAAATTATACCAATTTTAACAACTTTAACAACTTGAATTTTCCTCAATAGTACCAGGTATCAGGCTCTCCTTGAGCTCAAGGTCATGAAAGAATTTATAAGCTTTTGTCTTGAAGGTGTTAATACTAAGTGCCATTCCCATAATATTATAGGAATGATGCCAATAATATTGGAGTAATTTTTTTTCACACAACTGTGGTATTGAATTAATTACTTTTCACTAGATTTATTTTTTTTTTGATTAAGTGATTTTTTTTTATAATATATAAATTGATAAAAAAAGTTATCAGTAATAATATTTATTATTATTATCATTATGAAATTAATCAGTTGCAGCAGTTGATATTTTTTTAATCTTGAATGGTATACATGCTTGTAAATTAAAATAAAATTAATTAAAAAAAAAAGTTAATTAAAAAAAAAATTTCTACTAGAAAAAAAAAATTTCTCAACTAATTGTAGGAACCATTCCCATAATATATTGAAGCTATTCCATTATTGTATAGGAACGTTTCCAATAAATTATGGGTATGGTTCCCATAATGAGTATAGGATTAATGCCTATAATGATAATTTTATTATAAGATCCATTCCCATAATTGTTGGAAAGATTCCTATAAATTTCTCTCCGTGTATAATTAACAATTTTGAATTAAAAAATTAATTAGGAATAAATTTTAAAAAATTTTCTCCATAAACATGTTGGTGTCAACAGTATAGCTTTCGATGAATAAAATGAATTGACTTTATTCTTTTTTTATTTGGTTTGTAAAATCAATGCACAGAGCTAATTTAAAAATCATTGCTCAAATATTTTTATGTCATAATAAATAAATGATTTTCATTATCATTTGCTCACAACTTTACTCATGAATTAGTTATGTAGTATTTTTTTTTATAATTAGAGTTCCCTATACACTGAAAAAAAAAATTAACTTGATTCAAAAGTAAAATTCTTGAATCAAAAAAATCATTATGAAGAGATTTATCATCTTGAATAAAGTTGAAAAATGCTCGATCTAAGAAATGTTTCTTCATTTGAGTAAATTTTACTTGATTCAATACTTTCTTGTTTTGATCTAAGACAGTGAAACTCTTTAAATTGATTTTTTTGGGTCGAGAATTTTTCTCTTGAATCTTTAATTTTTTTTTCTGTGTAGAATTTATATGCGGATGCATTCCCATAATTTATAATCAATCTTTTGCAACGCATAAGGGAATTCAACTTGCAAGATAATTCTAATTCGCGGGAAAATTTGAACAAAGAAAAAAATAAATTGTAATGAATGTTAACTCTTTTGAATCAATTTATGAAAGAATTTTTTATTGTTTTTGGTTTTGCAATGTAGATCATTTTTATTCCAATAGATATTTAATTTAACATAACTGAAAAATTGAAAATATTAAAGTTTTTGATGGAAAGTTGTATATATGAGCGTTGATTTGAATAATTTAGATATTACATGAGCGCTTAAATTAAGGCATACACAGTTATATTTACTAAACTATTTACTTTTCTAATTTTGTGCTATTTTTCGGAACTGAGTAACACTCTATCCTGATTTCAGGGAACGAAAATTCGTCAAATTTGATTTCTCTGACTTCCAAAAAGATGTTGGAGAATCAACAGTTTCTTTTATTGATGGCCGAACTGTGAAATCGGGCAATTTCGCACCGATTAGAAGCATTGGAATTCGACATCGTCGAAATGAAGGTCACTATGGACGTCTTGGTTTTCAGATATTTTCTGTCTAACTAATGACAATCATAAATCCTGCAACTACAAAAGGTATCGGTATAATTCCACCATGAGCCCGTCTGAGAAGGCATTAAAGCGGGCCAGTATCTCTTTCACAACTGAGCTTTTCATGCTCTAAAGAGCTGCAATAATTCTATTGAAAGCATTGATATCAATAAAAATACCATCAGATTCAACAACATTCCCTATTGCTTTTTCTTTTCCTTTCTTCACGCCGTCAACGAATCAGCAGAATTGTTCCCTGTGGATTCAATTTATTTTACGCATAAGAATTCACCAGGTGGTATGTATTCGAAAACCACAAACATACATTTGGTTATGTGTTTACATCTATATATCCATTTGTATGTAGAAACTGTAAGCGAAATTCTTGTTTAACCAAATTCACTCTAGAACACCGAACAATCGGTATCTCGGGACTTTCAATCATTCCGCGAGTATTGATTATGAATATTTTATTTTATTTGATAATCCTGAAATATTAATAACTTTTATTCATAAGACTATGAACGAATTACATGCATTTTTCATTATTTTAATGCATTTACAGGAATTTATGCGGATCGTTATTTTAAATAAATATCGTCAGTTTCTTTCTAGAGTTTTTATAATTCATCGGAGAATTTTAGATTGCATACTGTATAAGGTTCAATAAGAGCTCATATCAATGATAATAATCCGGCGTTACTAAAAAAAGATATAAAAAATTTGGATTGAATTTTTAAAAAAATAAATTATATCACTGAGTTATTAAGTAAAAAAGAGAAAAAAAATTATCCTCTTACTCATAGACTGATATAATAATTAAGATTAATTCAAGAGGCTCAATTTTCAATAGGCTCTTACTCAAGGTCATTCTGAAGCTAATCAAAAAAAAATTGTGTCAATATATTAAATATTTTAGCGGCTAGAATGTTTACAAGCAGGCTACACAGGAAAAGACTAGTTGACATCTATTATAATTTTTTTTTCAATCATATTATTCGGGGATATGCGAAATTAAATTTCTTTGGACCTTCAGATATATTTATGCGTCGTGTTTTCTTAATATTCATACGTTTTAATTGTCCTAGAAGTACAATGTGTATATAACAGCAGCGATTTGAATTATAAAAATTGCTTGACCTTCACTGTTAAAAATTTTTGTAAAATTACAATCATATTACAAAACAAATGATATGTAAAATTACAAATCAGTGTATAGCAATGCTAAATAAAATACAATTCATGTAATTTTCCAACACCTGTCAGGAAATCTACTAAGATGTATTGTAATTTTACAATCTTCTTGTATAAACCTAACACGCATTGTAATATTACAGAACTGTTCGTCAATTTTCAAGAAAAAGCTTTTTAATTTTGCAAACATTAATTGTAATTTGATTCGGCATAATTGTATGTAAAATCATAAAAAAAATATTGTAATTTATATTACAATAATCTCATAAAAAATTTAAAAAGCTTTTTTTTATTTTTACAATTTCCATTGTAAAATTACACAGTGCAATGTAATGTTACCAGAAAATTTTATTTATATTACAAGAATTGTAATTCTACTTCACTGTTTTATAATTTTAAAAATAATACTTTTCAATTTTACAAAAATAAGACTGAT